AATGCACATCCCAAATTACAGTTCGATTGTAAGCCCTCTCTATCATGTGACCCGGAAGAAGAATGATTTTAAATGGGGCCCTGAGCAGCAACAAGCCTTTGAGCAAATTAAACGCGAGATAGTTCATGCAGTAGCCCTTGGACCAGTCCGAACCGGACCAGATGTAAAAAATGTGCTGTACACTGCAGCTGGGGAGAACGGTCCTACCTGGAGCCTCTGGCAGAAAGCTCCAGGGGAGACTCGAGGTCGACCCCTCGGCTTTTGGAGTCGGGGATACAAAGGATCTGAGGCCAGCTATACCCCAACTGAGAAAGAGATACTGGCAGCCTATGAAGGGGTTCGAGCTGCTTCGGAAGTGATTGGCACTGAAGCACAGCTCCTCCTGGCACCCCGGCTGCCCGTGCTGGGCTGGATGTTCAAAGGCAGGGTCTCCTCTACACGTCATGCAACTGATGCTACATGGAGTAAATGGGCTGCACTAATTACACAACGAACTCGAATAGGAAATCCCAGTCGTCCAGGCATTCTAGAAGTCATCATGGACTGGCCAGAGGGCAAAGATTTCGGAATGTCACCAGAGGAGGAGGTGGTGCGTGCTGAAGAGGCCCCACCATATAATAAACTGTCAGAAAGTGAAAAGCAGTATGCCTTGTTTACTGATGGCTCTTGCCGTATTGTGGGAAAGCATCGGAGATGGAAGGCAGCTGTATGGAGTCCTGGACGACAAGTTGCAGAAACTGCTGAAGGAGAGGGTGAATCGAGTCAATTTGCCGAGGTGAAAGCCATCCAGCTGGCCCTGGACATTGCTGAACGAGAAAAGTGGCCAGTACTTTATCTCTATACTGACTCATGGATGGTGGCAAATGCCCTGTGGGGGTGGTTGAAGCAATGGAAGCAGAGCAACTGGCAACGCAGAGGTAAACCCATCTGGGCTGCTGCACTGTGGAAAGATATTGCTGCCCGGGTGCAGAATCTGGTGGTGAAGGTACGTCATGTAGATGCCCATGTACCCAAGAGTCGGGCCACTGAGGAACACCAGAACAACCAACAAGTGGATAAAGCGGCTAAGATTGAAGTGGCTCAGATGGACTTAGATTGGCAACATAAAGGTGAATTATTTTTGGCCCGGTGGGCCCATGACACTTCAGGCCATCAGGGCAGAGATGCAACATATAGATGGGCCCGTGACCGAGGGGTGGACTTAACAATGGACACTATTGCCCAGGTTATTCATGAGTGTGAAACATGTGCTGCAATTAAACAAGCCAAGCGGTTAAAGCCTCTTTGGTATGGAGGACGATGGTTGAAGTATAAATATGGGGAGGCCTGGCAGATTGACTATATCACACTGCCACCAACCCGCCAAGGCAAGCGCCATGTGCTTACCATGGTGGAAGCAACCACCGGGTGGCTGGAAACATACGCTGTGCCCCATGCCACTGCCCGGAACACCATCCTGGGCCTTGAGAAACAGATTTTGTGGCGACACGGCACCCCAGAGAGAATTGAGTCAGACAATGGGACTCATTTCCGGAATAACCTTATAGATATTTGGGCCAAAGAGCATGGCATTGAGTGGGTATATCACATCCCCTACCACGCACCAGCCTCTGGGAAAATCGAACGGTACAATGGGCTGTTAAAAACTACACTGAGAGCGATGGGTGGGGGAACTTTCAAGCATTGGGATACACATTTACCAAAGGCCACCTGGTTGGTCAACACCAGAGGATCTGCCAACAGGGCTGGCCCAGCCCAGTCAGAACTTTTACATATTGTAGAGGGGGACAGAGTTCCCGTGGTGCATATGAAGAATTTGCTGGGGAAGACAGTCTGGGTTATTCCTGCTTCAGGTAAAGGCAAACCCACTCGTGGGATTGCTTTTGCTCAGGGACCTGGATATACTTGGTGGGTAATGCGGGAAGATGGGGAAGTCCGATGTATACCTCAAGGGGATTTGATATTAGGGGAAAACAGCCAATGAACTCAATTGTATGCTGTTGCCTGCTGTGTAATGCTTTTATAGCCCATCAACTAGATGTCTCCAGGTCACCAGCGACTGGCCCTGACTTCCCTCCAGCCATCATCCCAACAGAGAATGAACTTGGAACATCATGGACCGAATGGACTCGGCAGCATTATAGGGATTGGTCCATGCACTAAGAAAATGATTTTTTTTCCTCTTGGTCTGTATGTATATGGATGTATATATGTGGGAGAGCGATGGTGTATTGAAAATGTGGGATCTGAGCACGACGTGAATGGTATGGAATAAGGGGTGGATAATGTCCTGGGTTCAGCAGTAGCAGTCATGTTTTTTCCTTTGTGTTAACTGGTGCAGTGCTGTGTTTTGACTTCTAGTTTTGAGAACAGCGTTGGTGAAGCCGATGTTTTCGGTTGTTGCTAAGTGATGTTTACCCTGACCAAGGACTTTGTGAGGCTCATGCTCTGCCAGGGAGGAGGGGAAGCTGTGAGGAAGCAGAGACGGGGCGCCTGACCCGGGCTAGCCGGGGAGGTATTCCATACCACAGCACGTCATGCCCGGGGTGGGGGGTAACTGGGAGTTGCCCGGAAGGACAGGGGCTTCCGGGTGGAACTCGTTTTCTTGGCCGGTGGTATCGTATTCTCTTCCCTTGTTATTTTCCCTTATCATTGTTTTAGCTGATAGTAGCGGTGGTGATTTGTTGCTGGACTGTTCTTGTCTCAACCCGTAGGAGTTGCACTCTCTCGATCCTCCTCCCCGTTCCTCCGGGAGCGGGGAAGGGGAGAGCCCCGGTGCAGGGAGGGGGGGGAGACGAACACGGACCTTGATTGTTGTCAGCTTGGCACCACTCACTGGGAGTGAGTGAACAAGTTACCTGACTGGGTTTAAACCACGACACAATATTACAGGAGACACAGGAGGGGGAAGCATGAAGCAAGCTTGAGATTCTGTTTCCTGATCAAAACAATGTCTTAATATCTGTCACAGAGACTTAATGAGTTGAGCTATTAGGGAATTCATAAGAAGGCTTATTGGCATTTGCTGCAGAACAAGTAAGAGTATAATGATTAAGGTTGATTGTTTATTTATTTATTCTGAATACCCAAAGAGATGACTTGCTGAATACTTATCAGCACAAATAATAATACTGTGATACAGACTGATAAATCTTAAAAGTAGGGAGTTAAATCTGCAGGTGACTGAAAGCTAGGAAGGGTTGGCAAGCATAAAGATTAGAATTTGAAATATTGGGTAAGTCTGAAATCAACAAGCCAAAATTCAGTAATAAGAAAAATCCTATGATTAGGAAGTAGAGGTCAGATGTGTCAAAGCAAAATATAGAATTAACGTACAGGCAGCAAGAGAGAAGAAAAAATGTCTGTGGTTTACACCAAACCACCAACTGGTTCGATCATTCCATGTGTTATTACACAAAGGTCAAATTACTCAGATTTATATGACAGATATGTCACATGTAAGATGTACGTTGTGACTAATTTGACCTTCTAGATACTGAGTTTCATCTGAAGTTTCAAACTGTGCTTTGGGCATCACCACAACATATAAATATGCTGGGAAGAAGTTTGAGAGAACATCAGTGAGAGTTCTAGGAATGGAAGACTGAGGGACATGTTCTAGTGTAAGCGAGTGTAACTTGTGTTAACAGCCTTCTGGTAAATAAAAGAGTACAGGGATCAGACTTACCCATGCCACCTTATGAGTAGGATAAAAAATGACTGACTAAACTCAAAGCAAGGAAAAAGTAGGCTAAAAGTCAGGAAAAGTATCCTAATAGCAAGAAGTGCCTACCACAGAAACAGGTTTCTGAGGCTGCTTGGGGATGGATCTCTATAGAGTTATGGACAATAGATTAGACATCCTCCACAAATGTTCTGGACAGATGTGACTGAAAGTTGCTGCACAAGAAGGTGGTCTACGTAATTTCATAAGAAGCCTTTGAGTCTTGCATTTTGGAAATTTCCTATGATGATATAAGCTTATTACTGGCTCTTTAGGAAGAGATTTTCAGACACAGCTCTTGGTTAGCACTCAACCCTTGTAGTAATTTCCAGTTTGCTTTTGAAATCCCAAGGATTTTCCCCCATTTTTACTTACTTCTGAAAACAGCATGTGAACTTTTGGACCTATGTTTGGCACCAGCTCTGTAAAGGCCTTAAAGAGCATGAAGGAAGAGAAAGAAATGGCATAATACACAGGATCAAATCCACACTACACTGGTCAGTGTGAGGAGAGCAGAACATCCCTTTTTCTTAAAGTTGGACTTATGATACTACCTCACCATGCTTTCTTAACACCCAAGATGCAAAGATTCTGGGATCCTCTGTGTCTGAGATGAATACTTTCTAATTCTCTGCAGCTTCCTAGCATTGTTTTTAATTTTTATGAGCAGGAGTTTTCTGCTTTCTTATTTGTTCCTTCTTAAATTCTTAGCATTACTTATTTACAGAAGTTAGCTACAGTTTTCAAAAGTGATGAATGATTCAAAGATCCCTCTGTTTTAAACTCTGGCACTTCTTGTGTGGACTTGATCTTTTGAAGTGTCATGCTTTCTTTTGTAGGCACAATTAAAGATATTTGAAAGTAGTCACAAAATTAGTGGATATACCTCACCAACAGTCAGCTGAAAAATGCAAGATTTTATTCTATTGGACAAGCAGGTATAGCAAACTACCCACACCAAACCTTGAAACCTGCAATTTCGTAGTTACTGTATTTGTCCTACATTTGGTGTAGTAAAAAATGAAATTCTTACTGTCCTACTATAGCTGATAAGTCCTTCCATCTTATCAGTTCCAGGCTTTCTTCCATTTCAGTCCTGAGTTTTAACACATGGCAGGTAAGAGACAGATTGTGTCTGGATGTGAACACCTGTTCTGAAAATCTCTTCCTACTAGATTAGAGATGTAAATAATAGTATTTGACATCCCTAGATTTATATCTGTCTGATTTGCAATGAAAAATCACCTAAAATAATCCCCTAAACCTATCTTGAAAGATTGTAAATGTCACTGGAGAGAAATACGAGTATCCGTTTCATAAACCAGCAAGAAAATGTGCAGCACAAGTAAGGGTAAAGAAAGAGAAATGCATAAGAAACAAGATTTGGAGTGAATGGAGTGAACCAGTGCTTATTGATCATGGTAAGTTATCATGTATTTATTGTTCATAAGCCTTATCATTAGATATGTTATGATCCATATCATTCAACATATTTATTATTGCACGTGTTTTCTCCTTGATGTATTATTGTATCATAGCAGTACCTAGAGATCCATGTCATGCACCAGGCTCACACAGCTCTAGGTGCTTTAGGAAAAGGCAGTCTTTTGTCTAATGACTTGTACTTCCTTGATCTTAAGGCACTCTTGCACATGGCTTTTCTCCTGAAGTAAATTGCTTCTAACTCTTGGCAGCCTTTAGAAAACAATAATGGTCAGCCAATGAAAAGCTCTGAACACTGCCCTGACTGCCCTGCTAGGGACAGCCCGAGCATCCCTATAGATACTTTTACCTGGAGTTAGTAAGACAAGAAATTCACAGAAGTCATACTATTCACCAAATCACATGGTCCTTAAGGACTAAATCTAACATTTCTTTTAGTATATCAGGGGAGTAATTTCTTATCTGAAGAGGTAGGAAATGGTTTAACTCTCATTTAAATTAATGTATATGCTCTGGCACCTGCAGCTCACTTCAGCACAAACAAAATAAGAGCCTTGCAATACTTTTCCTTCACCTCCTATGACTAGATTTCAACATTCATGTACTAACAAGGAAAACTTGTGCTTCTTGTGATGACAAAAATGCCTCCACATGCAGCGGCTTCCTGATGTCAGGTGATGTCAGACTAGCTAAAAGGGAGGTAGTGTAACGGAGGGGTGCTATATTTATGGAGAGAAACTAATGCACAGGTTTGCCTCTGCAGGTTGACATGCAAAAGTAATAATAATAATAAAAAAATACAATACTATTGATAGTGAAACAGAACAAGACAAATATATTTACTTAATGTAACAGACTGTGTTTTGGAATATGTCTTTGTGATCTGTTGAGCTTCAAGTACATATTTATCTGAAGACACACGAAATAAATGGCCAGACATTACTGTTTTTTGCAATGGATTGAAAGTAAATTCAGTTATTGGGTTTATACATTGTCTGCCTACTTTACCAGGTGCCTCACTGCATCCCAATAGTCTGCTCAGCTGCCACCTATATTGCCCCAGATTCATTCATCTAATTTCAAAAACATTTCATTTGTGAAGTGCTTGGAGAGAGAAACCTAGTTATTTCGTATGTCCACTGTGGGGAAGGAGAGAACACGTTTCAGGCCATCAGAGACTTGAAGTGCCCTTTGGAGATGCTTCTTTCTTCTCACTGAAGATAGGGATTGCCTAGCATGGTAGCATGGCCAGCAGAGGGGTCTGCCTAGTGTGATATATAGACAGTGGAGGGGAGAAAAATTAGAAGGGCTTTTACTGGTGGGGGAATGTAGATTTACTTGCTTCCTGCCAGCCTCTCACCAGAAGAAGGAAATGAAGTTAAACAACCACCTGTCCTGGTTCCAGCCTAGCAAACCTTCTCAGCAGCTGTAATTGTCCTTCAACTGTTTTCTAACACTGCTGCTTTCCCAGCTTCTGCTACAGCTATTGCAGAGGTTGAACAATCACAGCATGTTTCCCGCACTTCAGAAACAGTTTATGGTCAACAAGACCACCATTGCATACAAGCTGTAATATCCTCATGTGTTCAGTGCAGAGTGTTGATTTACCCCTGGAGCGTACTGCATATATGCCAAGTTCACATGACACAGCCATGTCCCTTCTTCCTTCTGTGCTCAGAGACAAACAGTAACTTTTATAAAATGAAGCTATGAGTATATTACATGGAGCAGTCACATGCTTGGGAAAACCTCTTTAAATATCTCCCATGTCTAGAGAAAGTTTTCTACCCATTTTAGTTTCTATTCCATCGAAACTATATTCTTTCTGCTAATTGGGAACATGTAAAAGTGGACATTATGAACTGTATTTTAATATTGCCTAGATTTAAAAAAACCCTGGTATTAGTAGTATAATTCATGATAACTACATGAAAGTCACATACCTAATTTCATAGATACAGTGAATTGAAAGAATTGAATCTTTTTGTGGAATAACATGAAAGGAAAAAACATCCGTTTGTTATTTTTATTTTGGAATGTGTTAATTCTTCTGCTGAAAGTCTTGAAGGAGTGTGGAATGACCTGCTTTTTGTTTGCTTCTACATGACATTCCAGTGTTTCATCTAGGATATGTGCTATATTTTTTTAAGAATGGATTTTGAAGAGGCATTTCAGCCTCCAATTAAACAAGCTGAAACATCAAAATGAAATAACATAATTCAAAACATAACTAAAATATTTGTTCTGAAATGTTCCTTTGACATGAAAAGAATTTGTTAATTTTCTCATGGGAAACACATTCACTTTCCATTGGAATTAGCATATGTCCTTGAAAAAAAAACATAATTTAAACTGAACTGATCTCTTCAGTATAGAAACTTTCTGCTAAAAAAGAAAAGTTTAATCAGCTTTATTCATTTATAGAAACTTGAAATAATTGGTCTAATTTTTAGAGCTGCTGAGCATTCATAGATCTCTTTGAAGTTAAGGGTAGTTCAGAGGTGTTCTGCATTTTTGCAAACCAAGCCACTTGTTTTGATTTCAAAGTACTGTTATCTGTGACTGAGTTGAACCATTTACATCTGAAAAGAAGCTCCCCCCTCCCCCCCCCCCCCCCAATTGGTCTACCTGAAAGAATTTGCATGCTGCTTCTTCTTCCTTCTTTTCCAAAATGCATGAAGTAAGAAAGCAAGAAAAACAAACCTCTTTGTGGTTCAGTTGATGCAAAGACCACTGCTTCCTCTTTCGGGTGTGTACGTGACATGGGGTTAGCAGAATGACGCAGAACAAAAGGTTTTCTACTACCCAGTCCAGATATTGTTCAGAATATGTTTTCTGAGCCTTAATCTCAAAAGACAAGAAGGGGAAAACTCCCTTTTGATCTTAAAGTGAATAAAGCATAGTTTTGTATTTTAGCAGAATGCACAGGCTATTATACTCAGTATTGTCTAGAAGTTTGTGAGTTTTTTCTTGGTTTCATATGAAATTTGTGGAAATTTGTAATATCCTTGGTTTAAGCTAGAGATGGGTTCAAACTAGGAACTTTTTCAAATTCTTTTATTCTTTGAATTTTATCTAGACTGATCCTAAAACCACTGTTTAACTGGCCTTAGACTATTAACATTTTAAGAGCTGTTCCTTCCTGTTTTTCTTCAAAGTGCTCAGTTCAAAATAATCCAAGCTCACTGTAGTTCTAAAGCTAGGTACTAAACAGACAAATAAAGTTGCCAAAAATATCTGTTTGAGTCAGCTGAAGACACTGATATTTTGGTATTTTGAGTATTTCTGCAGGAAGGAATGCAAGGTACAGAGCAGTAGTATTTGTTGAACAATATAAAAATGTATTGCTATCTTTTCCTTAGGACTATGCCTAGCAGCATTAAAAAAGGTAAATATAATGAAAACCAAATGTTACTTTTTTGGTCAAAGAGAATATTTTTTTTTGACAGAAAGCTTTTATTTTTGTTTTGCCTTAAACCTGTTACAGCTGTGAAGGGGTGCTCACGGGGCCTCATGATGCATGGAGGTGGGAAGTGGCAACAGCAAGAATCCAGAAGCAGCTGGAGTAGCAGCAAGAGTGTCTATAGCATATAGAGAGAGGAATCAGGGCTGGATGGAAGTACGCAGTGGCAGGACAGGCCATGGCCAGCGTATGAGAGCAGAAAAGACAGGCCTGACAGGCGGGGAGGGGGAGTTGCCCTTTATGTTAGGGATAGGCTGGAGAGTATGGAACTCTGTCTGGGGACAGGTGAGCAGTCCACAGAGAGTTTGTGGGTCAGGGTTAAAGGGAATATAGCTATGGGAGACATTACTGTGGGGATCTGTTACAGACCGCCTGATCAAGGAGAACCTGCGGATGAAGCACTCTATAGACAGATAGGAAAAGCCTCACGCTCGCAGGCCCTTGTCCTCATGGGGGACTTCAACCATCCTGACATCTGTTGGAAGGACAGTACGGCCCGGCACAAGCAATCCAGGAGGCTCCTCGAGTGTGTAGAAGACAACTTCCTTCTGCAAGTAATAGAGGAGCCGACAAGGAAAGGTGCCATGCTTGACCTCATGCTTACCAACAGGGAAGGGCTCGTTGGAAATGTGACACTCCAGGGCAGCCTTGGATGCAGCGATCATGAGATGGTTGAATTTGAGATCCTCAGGAAAGTGAGAAGAGCGTGCAGCAAGCTCACTGCCCTGGACTTCAAAAGAGCAGACTTTGGTCTCTTCAGAAACCTGCTTAGTAAGGTTCCATGGGACACAGCCCTAGAGGGCAGGGGGGCCCGAGACTGTTGGTTGATATTCAAGGATCACCTGCTACAAGCTCAGGAGTGTTGCATCCCAACTAGAAGGAAGTGCAGCAGGAGGGTCAGGAGACCTCCCTGGATGGATAAGGAGCTGCTGAGGAAAATTCAAATGAAAAAAGAGGCTTATAATAAGTGGAAGCAAGGACAGGCGGCATGGGAAGAGTACAGGGATGTTGTCTGGGAAGCTAGGGACCAGGTTAGGAAAGCTAAGGCCCAGTTAGAATTACACTTGGCTAGGGATGTGAAAGATAATGGGAAGGGATGCTATAGGCACGCTAAGGCACATGAAAATCAACAAGGTGCTTGGTGTCAGCCAGCATGGCTTCACTAAGGGGAAATCCTGCCTGACCAATTTGGTGGCCTTCTATGATGGGGCTACAGAACTGATGGACGGGGTAGAGCAGCTGATGTTATCTACCTGGACTTGTGTAAAACGTTCGACACTGTCCCACATGACATCCTTGTCTCTAAATTGGAGAGACATCAATTTGATGGATGGACCACTCAGTGGATAAAGAACTGGCTGGGTGGCCGCACACAAGGAGCTGTGGTCAATGGCTCAATGTCCGGCTGGAGACCAGTAGCGGGTGGTGTCCCTCAGGGATCAGTGCTGGGACCGGTCTTGTTCAACATTTTGTTGCTGACATGGACTGTGGGATTGAGTGCATCCTCAGCAAGTTTGCCGATGACACCAAGCTGTGTGGTTCGGTTAATACCCTGGAGGGAAGGAATGCCATCCAGAGGGACGCTGACACGCTTGTGAGGTGGGCTGATGCTAACCTCATGAAGTTTAACCATGCCAAGTGCAAGGTCCTACAGCTGGGTCGGAGCAATCCCAGGCACAGCTACAGGTTGGGCAGAGAAGAGATTCAGAGCAGGCCTGTGGAGAAGGACTTGGGGGTGCTGGTTGATGAGAGAATGAACATGAGTCGGCTTCAGTGTGCGCTTGCAGCCAGAAATCCAACCGTATCCTGGGCTGCATCAAAAGCAGCGTGACCAGCAGGTTGAAGGAGGTGATCCTGCCCCTCTACTCTGCTCTCGTGAGACCTCACTTGGAGTATTGTGTGCAGTTCTGGTGTCCTCAACATAAAAAGGACATGGAACTGTTGGAACAAGTCCAGAGGAGGGCCACGAGGATGATCAGGGGGCTGGAGCACCTCCCGTATGAAGACAGGCTGAGGAAGTTGGGTCTGTTCAGCCTGGAGAAGAGAAGGCTGCATGGAGACCTCATAGCAGCCTTCCAGTATCTGAAGGGGGCCTATAGGGATGCTGGGGAGGGACTGTTCATTAGGGAGTGTAGTGATAGGACAAGGGGTAACGGGTTAAAACTTAAACAGGGGAAGTTTAGATTGGATATAAGAAGGAAATTCTTTCCTGTTAGGGTGGTGAGGCACTGGAATGGGTTGTCCAGGGAGGTTGTGAATGCTCCATCCCTGGCAGTGTTCAAGACCAGGCTGGACGAGGCCTTAGGTGATACGGTTTAGCGTGAGGTGTCCCTGCCCATGGCAGGGGGGTTGGAACTAGATGATCTTAAGGTCCTTTCCAACCCTAACTATTCTATGATTCTATGATTAAATCCAGGGAAAGGAAGGGATGGAGTCTCCTGGAGCACAGGAAGCAAGGGAAAGTGCTGGATGAAAACAGCAGCAAGGCTGAGGGCTACAAGGAAGAAGGAACAGTGCTGAAGTAAGAAGCCCCTCGCTCCCCTGAAAAAGCTCCAGAAAATGTTTCTTTCAATCAGTGGAGGTTCAGGAATAGCACAATAGTTATCAGTCAATATATAATTAACCCATTTATGAACTACACTTCCCCACATCATTATTAACATTACCTTTGCCTCTTTTTAAGAGAAGACAGTGGACGTCATTCTGCTAAGCCTCACATTGTTTTGTCTCCTGATTTTCCTTGGAGGTCTGCTGATACGTGCATGTAGAAGGTAGTGTATGTTTTTGGAAGGTACTATAAATTTCTGGTGAAAGAGAGCTCCTGGTGAGGGCAAACAAACTCTAAAATGGATTAAAGTCAACCACAGACCTTCTCAGATAAATTATGTTTACAAGAAGCGTGTAACAGTGCATTTCCAACTGATGTTCTGACAAAAGGGTTCTAGGTGTTAAGATATAGTTTAAGATACTGAACCCCATCGCTGTCATCTCACAGCTCCCATCCTTGGGGCTTCAGTCTCGCACCCTACTCTCAGATGACTTTCTGTGCATTTCTGTAAATGATATTCTTTCATCCTACTTTACTGCTCTCTCTCTACCCTCCATGTGGCTTCACACCATGTTTTTGCATGTCCTGCCTTCAGGGCCACCAACATTAACAATGCCAAAGATGAACTGCATTTGCCCTGTTGACCAGTTTTGTTTCATAATTATTACCTACAGCAGTCTTTTACTGCAAGCTGGACAGTTTACAAGAAAGAAAAGAGGGAAGTCATGCTGATAGATTGAATTTGCTTTTCTGTACTATTAGCACAGCAAAATAATAGTAATGATCCTACACCCACCAACAATTAATGCAATCTACTTCCTCCATGCCACTAAACCTTTCCTACTGACATGGCAGAGAAAGCTTTCTTGAACTGAAAATTAAACTTGTTCAGGATAGGATGATAAATTAAGATGCCTTAATATTTGAAGGGTGCAGTATGGCATGGCCTCTGTTAAAAGTAAATTAATTATTTAATTAATGACTCAATATTATTTCTGATTAAGATAAAAGAAGTTATCATGTGCTCTATCTTTCAGTAAACAAAGACTCAAGGAAATATAGATCTAAAAGAACTAATAATGAAATACAGAATAAAATGTTTCCCCTGTGGCAAACAAAACATCATTAAAAGTCATCTGCATCTAAACATAAACCAATATTCTGGTCAAATAATGAGGAGTGACTCTAACCTCCAGAGAGCGATTCAGCTGATAGGTATTTTTGGTGTAAAATTTACATAGTACTCAAACCAAACAGATAATCCTTTGTGTTGAATCAAAAAGTTTTCATGGTTCTGTGCAAACACCGCTCACTCTCAAACCTTAATTCTGCTAGACTTCAGCAAATGAGTTTAAAGATATTTCTGATCCTATGCCTGCTCCCTGTCATCTGATTTTTTTTTTTTCTTTTTATCACACTTCACAGGTAATATTTTTAACAATGAAAACGACATATAGGAGTGATTTTTTTTACCTATAGAAATAGTAGTAGCATGTAACAAGCTCTCACTTTGCTTGGAAAACAAATGTCTGTGCATATTCATACTGTTCTTTTAAATCTCTAGCAGGCTAAAAAACAGGCTGAAGAAGACTGGGAAAAATGTTGAGCAAAATGTCTGCAGTGAAACAAAATAGGGTAGAATGGCTTTAGAAATGGCAGATACCTGTTTATTGGTGTATCTATTACAAAGCAATATTGACCGAGCTGTTCTTCAGACAATTAATAGTTTCATGTCTGTACCACTCTCTTGTAGGTATCAATGCCTGGAAGTTATAACCATGCCTGTTCCTCATCCTTCAGATAATATCAAAACTTGGTTAGCTGCAGATGACACCACCAGGTACTGGGTAACACATATGGTATGATTTGTGATTGGAATGGGGCAATATTACGTTTGGAGCAGCAGGCTATTTCCATGAAACATTGAGGAAAAGGCATGCACAATGTTTGCAGTGAAATCAGAACAGAACAGAAAGCTTGCGGAGGTTACAGGACAATGAGAGAGGGTGGAGGAAATCTTCAAGGGAGTATAATCTCTAGCGTGTTTTAAAGTGCCTGTAAAAGTTAGACTATAACTTTGACATAAAACTTAGGTACATAGTCGTATCATCCTGGATGGTGACAAGCAACAAAATCAGTCCTCAAAACAGCTAGGCAAATTTGCCTGTGAGCAACTTTTAGATTGAGACAGTAACCCATATGATCTCTGTATTCTAGTTACATGACAGAATAAGTAATCTGTACTAATCCCTCATACACCAAATAAGCAGCATGCTTGTAAAAATATTCAGAATTTGTAACACCATTGAATACAGATGTTGTGCATAATGCAGTTTTTATCCAACAGAATCAAATGTCAGTGCAAAGGGAGATGTACTCAGATGCTACTATGGGAACACCAGAAGAGAACAGAGATGAGAACATTCAACAACAGAAATGTTTGAAGGAATCTGGATTAGAAGGTCTGTAGGGACAATAGACTTTTTTTATCTGCACGCAAGAGTTACCTTTCTATGAGGCGGAGAATATTCTATCAGACCTAAGCATGGCTGATATTGGAGTTTGTCTGAGCCTAGTAATTTGAAGTATTTTGAGCTCTGATGTTATGCAACTCAAAATGAGGTTTGGATCACAAAGGCAAAGCACTATCTTGCAGTTTGTCTCTAACTACTACTGATGTTCAGCCCTGTAAAATTACAACACCTCATACAATATGATCTAATATTCAGGTACACTTGAGTTAAAATGGAATTAGGCTTAGTGTTTCATAATGCTGCAATAACTTCCAAATATTGTCTGATAGATCAATGCCTTTGAAGACTGGCTATTCAAACAAATTTCATACTAGCTATTCAACATCTGGTTGAAGTGATTTTAAGAGATGGTGGAAGCAATGAATGTCTCTGGAAACAGCAGAGAAGCTCACAAAGGTTCTTTAAACTCTAAACAAAATCTGCTTTCTAAGGCACTGCTTTGTGTAAGCAGATATCAACCAGAAAGAAGAGTTGTGTGAAGATAAAAGGTCTTTTAATGCGATGGGCTTATTCTTTTGCAGCTAGCAAAAGAAAAAAAAAACAACCAACTTTAAACAAGGTAAAGAAAACAGTTTTTGGCTGTATTTTGATTGCTTAAGTAAGTATAACTCAGAGGAGTTAAAAGTTGAGAGCTCACCAAGATTTGCTATTTAATTTTCCTTGTCTTCCCTTGCCATTTCCATGAGGTGGGGAGCCATGCCAGTTCATTTTGAGGTACACAACCAGGACAGACTATTTTAACTTTTAGTTTAGACAGTATTTATTTTGCTACAAAATAAGGAATACAGGGCCTTAAATTTGCAAGGAACATGTTTCTGTAGACTTTTTTTAATATGTAGGAGGTACAAGTAAATGATGGACCTAATTGTCTGGACAGTTTGGAAACTACCTAAAAAATTCTTGCTCTCATTAACGGTAAAATTTCTCCATTTTTAAGATAATATTGGTTGAAGGAAGTATTTGATTACAACATCTTTAGTATTATTGAAAAGGACAATATAAAACTTTTGTTTGTGCTTCTGAAACATTCAGTTTACATTTCTGTGCAGAGTTTTAATTTACCTGAATATGCTTTTTTTTTGGTATAATGTCTCCCTCATCGCAGTGGAGAAGACTGCACTCTTTCTCCTTTAATATTAGGAATGGCTGGTAACATCTCAAGAGCTCAAGCTGGAAATGCCTGAACAACAAAGGGATTATAATTGAATTTGTTTGCCATAAGATCAAGTTCATGACCTCAGGAAAAAACAATCAACTTTTCTAGGTAGTGTTACCTTTACTGTTGCACTGTATTTTTTACAGAAGGTTAGGGTGGCCTTACTTTTGAACGTTGGTGCTCTTCTCTACATAGCTGTCAGCCTGAGGCCTACTCAAATCACCAGGGAGAAGGTGGATGGTAGATATCAGGTACTGAATAATGCTTCGGTATTGACAACTCCTGTAATGCCTCCTTCTCTGTCTTGAGTGCAGATGGGAAAACCCACAATCAACTCATTTTTCTCTTGTATGGTCAGACACTATCTCTATGGGTAGACAAGGCAGTTTTCCCATCAGCCATAATCCAAATCTTTTTTCTTGAGAAGGTAGGGAAGAATTAGTAGTTCAGTTGAAAGTCATTACAAGAAGCATATAGAAAACAAGTGTCATGAAAGTACAGGTTCCTTTCTTTGTGAGGATATAAAAGTGATATAACGAAACAATCAGAACATGTGTGAGCTAAGTGGGGTAGAGAAGTACCACACGTTGGCCAAATACATCTGGAATCCAGACTTCACTGATATTATAGTGAATATTATATTGTTCCTTAAAATATATTTTATAAACGTATAATTTATATAGCTTTGGCTTGCAATGCTTGAAGCCTAAAACCAGTGCCAGGATTTGAAATAAGCCAGAACCTATAGATTAAAATAATTTTATTATTTTACCTGAAAATAGAATAACTCTTTTAGATTAAAATTGCTTTGCTTAGCAGAAGTCTCAGTTTCAGTCAATACACATAGTTTGCTCACATGCATATGGCAACCAACAGAGACACACATTATAAAAAGAAATATCATAAGATCAGTTGTCTGGAAAATTAATCCTAAAGTGCAAATTTGATAATAAAAATATCAGTATCTGGACCCATCTAAGAAACGATTGATTTGTTTATTAAATGCTCTAATTTTTCCTTCAAATAAGAATATTATTATAAACCTATCTTAGATCTATTCTCCAATAGTGGATTTATGTGCAATACTTATGTAAAGAAATATAATTATCCAAAAGCAAAATTGTGCCATCCTCAGTGTAGCAATAAACATTTAAGCATATACATACTACTGCACCTGGGTCAAGTCAATCCCCAGTATCAATACAGCGTGGAGGATGAGTGGACTGAGAGCAGCTCTAAGGAGAAAGACCTGGAAGTGCTAATGGATGAAAAGCTGGATATGGGCTGGCATTGTCCATTTACGGTCCAGAAAGATGATTGTATCCTGGACTGCATCACAAGAAGCATGACCAGCAGATTGAAGGAGGTGATGCTCCCTCTCTACTCCATTCTCATCAGACTCCAGCTGGAGTATTGTGTTTAGTTCTGGTGTCTTCAGCACAGGAATGATGAAACTGTTGGAGTGAGTCCAGAGGAGGCCATAAACATGATCAGGGGGCTGGAGCACCATTCTGATGAAGAAAGGCTGAGCGAGTTTATTCAGCCCAAAGAAGACTCTGGAGAGACCTTCTAGCAGTCTCCTAGTACCTAAAGCGGGTTTATTAGAAAGACAGAGGGAGGCTTTTAAACAGGGCTTATAGTAATAGTACGAGTGGTGGTCTTGAGCTAAAAGAAGGTAGATTTAGACTAGATATAAGGAAGAAATTTTTTATGATAGGGGTGGTGAAACACTGGAACAGTTTTCCTAGAGATGTGGTAGATTCTCCATCCCTAGGAACATCCAAGATCAGGCTGGACAGGGCTCTGAACAATCTGATCTAGTCTGAGATGTCCCTGCTCTTTGCAGGGGAATTTGGACTAGATGACCTTTAAAGGTCGCTTCCAACCTAAACTGTTCTATGATTCTATAAAAACCTTAAACAGGTAATCTGGCTTGCTCCTGTGAATTTAAGCAGTTGCTTTCACTGTACCTGTGAACGGAGCTCCTGCGCATAAGATTTCACCTTCTGCTATTGAAGAGACACAACCTGATGAAACACTGGGCAGTGCATCGCACATAGATTGCTCTTCTCTCCACTTACGCATATACAGAGGACTCTGGAATCAAAAGACCTTGTGATAAGTCATGGCTGGCTATATTTATACTTTCACCTCCAAGTCCCCACTTCTTCCAAGTACATATAGCACACAAGGAGTTACAGCTAGGAGTATTATTAAATGCTTATGTTTCTCCCTGAACATCAGTGACTATGTAAATATCAGGCATACCTTACTGTAGCTTCTGAAGCCCCTACTTTTTCTTTGAAAGGAGAATAATGGCAAAGAGGCCAAAGGGAATTAGCAAAGGGATTCTGCGCTAAGACTTGTCAGGTTGTCCATTGCTGCCACCTACCGTACAACCTACCTACTTTCAGAGAGAAATGTTCCTTTTCAAGACGCTTTAACTGCGTTGGTATCTTTAAAGAACTTGCCCTCCTCTCTTTCTTGAAGACCTGGCCTTTATTAGGGACAAGATCCAACTTCCCTAATTTTAGCTTCCTCAAGGTTGGGTGTCTAATCAAACAGAGCTGGCCAGGGCCTTGGGATAATGCAAGAAGACTGTCAGCAAATACATCATTCCAACCTAGCCCAGGTGTTAAGACAAGATGACTCTCCTCTTTGTGGGTGCCTGTCTCTTTCTTGTTAAACTCTAGCTGATCAGACTCAGATTAGATGATCACATTAGCAAAACATGCTTTTCATGACCTAGTTATTCTGCTCTCCTTAGCCAGGTGAAAGGAGATACCTTAGCTAAAGAACAGCTTCACAGGTGTAGCCTTTGTGTTTGGGAGATTTTCCAGCACAGTTAAAGTCACAGTTCATATCTAGTCATGTTTCAGATCAACATTATTAAGCCAGAAACCTCAGTTTTGACTAAAAATATCTTTGATCAAGAGCAAGGGCAGAGAATCTTGGGCCACCTATTTAGGCTGAAGTCTGAGTTTACAATATTATTCTTCTCACTATCAAGTAGAAAGGCTGGCAGTTGCACCCATTTAGCTTACACATAATTATATAGCATTGTAAGTTTCACCAAAGTGAAATGTATCCAGCAAATAAAGAAAAGTCATGTGAGTGTGTGTGTATGCATGTGGAAAGAGCATTGTCAAGATAATGCTGTTTGTATGGAAAAAGTTACCAGTATTCCTCAGGACCAAGTGTTCAGTGCATGTTGTACTGTTAGTGTATTGCCTGTATTACTCTACTACGTGCTTTCTGCTGGTATTGGTATAAACAATGCTAGCTGACTGGTACAATTTGTTGTACTAATATCTAAAGAAATGAGGTGGCTCCTACAAAGTAACTCCAAAGATAAAGGTGTCATTGAGAACATAAAAATACTTTGGTGGCTGGTGCAGCACCAGGTTGCACTGAGAGCAATCAGAATAAGCATCAGAATTAGCATCAGAATAAACACATCAGCATGTTTTCACTAGTTTCAGGCAAAATCCCATCACAGCTTTCAGTGCTAACTGCGTATAAAGCCCATCACCATGCTTCTGATTCTCCTGAAACCTGCCAGGTGATTAAACCCCTAACTATTGCACAAATAATTAGAAAATATTATTTTGGCGTTTAGTTCAGGAAAACATTTAGAGTGACATAGAGCAGTGAAGTGCCAACACCTTTGAGTCAAAACTACTATAACTTTACTCAGCTTTCCTATTATAATCCTCTAATTTTGCAAAATATTGTAAAGAATGCAGTCATTTATCTGCAGTAAATCCAAAACATTTAAACATAAAAAATGTAGGTATAATACATAAGCAACACAAGGCATTAACAAAGAAGGAAAGAAGAGATGGAAGTGGAGAGAAAGAATGAAAAGAATTAATATTCAAGACCATAAAGCAATACCATTATATTTTCATAACCTCAAAATATTAGTTTGCTACTTTGCATTCATATAGATGAAAAATAGTTGTATTTTAAAGCTTGTTTGGGCTTCTGGCTGTCATTTGGGTTTCTTGACAGAGAAAATGAGAAATGTGGTGATTATGTAAATATTGTAGACCACAATAGTTAATAGATACTCATTTCATACTTGGTTTTGTGCAAAAGGCTACTATGTGAGGAAAACTTTACACAATTTTTAAATTATAGAGCTGCTTGCCATAGGATGTTGAAGATGTTCAAAAGGAAACTGGATAAACAAGCATGAAAAAATATCTATCAAAGACTTGCTAAATAAAAAGCCAATTTTTCTGACTCGTGGTCTTCCACCTATAAATTACAAGACATAGGGAGAATATATCTGCCTTTTTGTACTTTCTTGCATGGCGCCTGCTACTGCTGCTATCAGAGAGAAAATGGATCACT